GTCAGTAGTAGGGCCCTGGAGCCCCTAGATAGACCAGAATCACCAAACCAGGTCTGCCGCAGCTGGTGTTTCCGGGTGACGGCAGTTCCGGTTAGTGGAACGGGGCGGGGGGGACCTCCCCTAGTACAAATCATTAAACCAGGTCCCGCTAAACCCAGTTCTGCCAACGCCTGAATAGAGCAGGAGGGGGAGGGGGGCCTCCTCCTCCTCCTCCTCCGCCTCCTCCTCCTCCTCCACCTCCTTTTCCCCTCCAACTTATGGTGGTTGTGGTGGTGGAAAACAGGCCCATCATCCTCGGGCGCAGCGTTCGGGGGGAGATACCCATCGGTCGTTGAGAGTAGGTTTTTGAGTCGGAGCTGTCCCTCGACAGGAGGAGTATTCCCCATTCGGAGCCTGCCTCTGTAGGGGTCCTAGCCGATTCATATAGTTAGGTGAGGTATGGCGCCGATTTCGGCGGCACCCCCGGGTGCCCTGGTGCCCGGGTGCTCGGTAGCCCATAGCCCTATGGTCTTATAGCCTTATAGCCCTATAGCCCTGTAGCCCTATAGCCCTACAGCCCTACAGCCCTATAGCCCCATAGCTTTATAGCCTAACAAATTTTGGAATTGAGTTTTTCTCCGGTATCATGCAAAAATAGTTAACAATAGTACGGGGACGATTTTTTCATTAATTTTGACGAATTGGGAGTATTTGTCGATTTTTTGTTTGTCCAAAATCCACCTGTAGGGGGGCATGCCCGACCTAAGAGTAGTTTTTTGGGGGGGTCCAAATTATTCCAATCTGATTTAAGCGCCTTCATGCTTCCAGGATCGAGTGGCTTCACCTTTTCCGTCCTATTTAGGAGGCGGGCGGACACCCAATCTATTTTCAACGCCTTTCTACTTCACGTTTCTAGCTACTTCTTCATACCGATGGGTAGGGGGGATAGGCTCAGGGGGGATGCATCGACCCCCAGTCGCCCACTCATCGCCCACAGGGGCCGGATAGCCCACCCCGCCCAGGAACGCGCGGTTCTGCTGTCAGTGGCCTAACGACGATCTATCGGCGATGCATCGCCGATGCCAGGTCGATGCTTCCCACCCCTGAACCGGCCTCCCCGACCGTTCCCCCTCACAGAGGAGGAGGAGGCCAGGATGGCTTAAGGGAGGGGGCGAGGCAGGAGGAGCAGGCAGGTTTGAGGGTCTCTCCCTGACGTTGTCCCCCCCTAACGTTACCCCCCGTGAGCGGGTCCCCCCCTCGCGTTGCCCCTCACCTCCGTAGTCCTCTCTGGTTGGCGGTCGTCCGAAGCCCTGGCCTCCGAAGGGTCGATCCGTAGCAATCCTGGTGCTCTCCTCCCCATCCAAAATAAGATAACAGTAATACTGATACTGGGACTAATCAGAATATGTACCACGACTACCACCACTACTGCTACTGCTACTGCTACTGATACCGCTGCTGCTACTTGTACTGTTACTATTACTTGTACTTTTCACTTGCATTACTACGTTTACTAGTACTGTTATTATTACTACTACTTCTACTACTACTGCTACTACTGCTACTACCTCTACTACTACGACTACTACTACTTCTCCCACTACTGCTACCATTCTTATTAATACTACTGCTACTACTACGACTACTACTACTACTCCTGTTACTGCTACGGCTACTGCTAGTGCTAGTGCTAGTGCTACTGCTACTGTTACTGCGACTGCTACGACGGCGACTACTACTACTACTACTACTACTACTACTACTACTACTACTACGGCGCCGACGACGAAGACGACGGCGACTGCAACCACCACTATTACTGGTACTAGCGCTGCTACTCCCTCTGCGTCTACTACTACTACTACCACTACTACTACCATTATCTACTGCACGGCTACTCCAACTACTACGATTACGACTGCGATTACTACTACTACTACTGCTACTACTACTACTACTACTACGACTACTACTACGACTACTACTACTACTACTGCTAATGCTACTACTAGCACTACTCCGACTACTACGACGACGACTACTATTATTACTACTACAGCTACTACGTTTCCTCTTACTCTTACTACTACTACTACTCCTACTACTACTACTACTACTCCTACTACTACTACTACTACTACTACTACTACTACTACCACTACTACTGCAACTACAGCTATTCTTATTAGTACTACTATTACTACTACTACTACTATTACTACTACTATTACTACTATTGCTACTACTTCTACTACTACGACTACTACTGCCACTATTACTACCACTACTGCTACTGCTACTGCTACCATTGCTAGTACTATTGTTTTTTACCACTACTACTACTGCTGCTGCAAGAACTACTACTACTACTATTACAAGAGCAACAACTACTCCTACTACAACAGCACCGACTACTACTGTGACTACTAAAACAACTACTACTACTACTTCTCCTACTCCTACGACTTCTTCTTCTATTGTTACCACTATTACTACTATTACTAGTACTACTACACTACCA